CTAACTGCTCAGCTGGCCCAATCCCCCCAAAACCCCAAAACCCCTCAAGATGAGATATAAGAGAATGCAAGTATAATTATTTTGAATTCTTCATAAATAAAAGGAAATAAAATGGCTGATTCAAATAGACAGCGCATCTTTTCTGCTGAATAGGTAGTAGTCAACTCAGAGTTCCCCAAGATCATTCTTGAGTACTCAAAGGAAGTCATTAGAAGCAACCCATCTGATATTGCTGTGTTCTCAAGAGCTTACTTTGAGCAAAAACTCAAGGAAACTGGATTCTGGGAAGATAATATGGAAAAATTACAAATCCAGAGAAAGGACATGATCTATCAAAAGGGAGAAAATTTCTATAATCATTACAAGATAGGCAAAGTCATTGGAGACGTTACCTTCAGCAAAGCTAGATTCTGTACGCACAAGAAAACTGGCCAGGAAAAAGCAGTTAAGATATATGACAAGACAACGATTGAGGACTTGCCAAGCTACATGGATAAAATTGATCTGCTAAACGAATTGGATCACCCACTGATACTGAACTACCAAGAGATCTACGAGGATGACGACTATCTATATTTTGTGAGTGAATTAATGCTAGGAGGGGATCTTTATGATGCTCTAGCAGCTAAGGGTAACTATTCAGAGAAGGATGCAGCATTGGTGATAAAACAGTTACTACAAGCAATAGCCTACTTGCATTCAAAGGGGGTAGTTCATAGAAATATCAGAGCAGGTAACATTTTACTGGTTGAACCGAAGAGACTCAATCTTAGATTGATTGATTTCGATTTCGCTGGAGTCAAACCTGCAGGTGAAGGATTCTTATCCAAAGAAGAAGGCAACCCAGTATACGAAGCTCCAGAAGTTATTAGAAATAGCTACAATGAGAAATGCGATGTTTGGAGTCTTGGCTGTTTACTGTACTTGCTGATTGCAGGCTACTTACCATTCTGGGCCAACTACAATCACGAGGTTGTGGAAAAGGTTCTCAAGGGCTACTATGATCTTGAAGAGGCAGATATTTGGTACTTTGTTTCAGAAGATGTGAAGGACCTCATTAGATCCATGCTTGAGTATGACCCAAACAAGAGAGTCTCAGCCGTTTAAGCACTTAGACATCCTTGGTTTGATATTCTTAAGAAGGGTAACTAAAAGCCAAACAAGGATCTAGGTAAATCACTTTAGAACCTCTACGAGTTCAATGCTGGCACCAAGCTTAAGCAAGCAGTACTTGGCTTCTTCACCAAGAATCTTATGACATAACAGGAAGTTGATCAACTTTCTCAGTAATTCGGCGATATTGACAAGAACCAGAACGGCACACTCTCAAGAGAGGAGATCCAAGAAGCATATAAGGTCATAAAGGGTGTAGACTTCGATGAGGATGAAGTCAACGAGTTGTTCAACCGAGTAGATGCTGACGGCAGCGGAGAAATTGATTATTCAGAGTGGCTAATGACTGCAGTCAGTAAAGATAAGTTGTTGCAGAAGGAGAAACTGGAGATGGCCTTCAACTTGTTTGACAAGAATGGGGACAAACAGATCTCATATCACGAAATTGTGGCCTTGCTCAGCCAGGTCAAGAGTCTCAACCAAGAGGCAGTCGAGAGAGCAGTCAAGGAGGTCGATAAAAAGGGCAGAGGCCAACTCACTTTCAAGGAGTTCAAGAGATTCATGGAGAAACTATTCGAGTGATTCTTTTTCTATCTGGAATAAAGTTCTCGCACTAATATATGATGATGGATTAATCTTTATATAAGTATTTAAGTCAAATATCCATTTCAAATATTCACTCATGGGGTTTTGGGGTTTTGGGGTTTTGGGGTTTTGGGG